CAATTTAAACTAACAAATAGCGAAATGAAAGGAGTGCGTCAGGTCTGCGTTTTTGTAATCAAATTTTATTTAAAAGCATGGTTTTCAGCAACATCAGCCATAACAGCACCAAATAATGATTTGATTCTAATACAATATTTGCTTTCCTATAATAAAATAAACCCAGTTGGTTTCAAAAAATGCATCTGAAAAAAATGGCTAAGCATTTGTGGTACCTTTCAGAGGAATTAGCTGCTGTCATTATTTGATGTAAGTGTCTCGCCAGAAATATAATCAACGATTGACTAAAGATGATGAGCAGTTCCAAGCTCTGCCCATAAACCGGGCCGACTTTATTTTAATGTGGAAGACCCTCTTGCTCAAACTCTCTCAAGATGTGTATGAGCAGGAAAAGCATCAGAGAGCACCGAATTTCGTACGATTAGTGCGGAACGTGCTTCTCCCTGCCCCTTTAGCTGATCTCTTCAGCATTGGGCAGCACCATTCAGCTGCTCGTGGTTACATTTATAATGTAGTTCCACCAGTTAAACCGAATGAACCACCCGCATGGTGGGAGATTGATGCTCAAATATTAATTCACTTCCAGACAGCGATACACTGTATGAAATCATTATATATGATGAAGGAGTATCCTTTGATGTCTGACAATGAGTACAAACCACTGATCCATTCGTAGGCTGTAAAAAATAAAAGCAGACCTTTAGTTTATTTTTTGTTTTTTGGTTTTTTATGGTTTTTAGTAGATATAACATTATTTTGCTAATAATAATTGAGAATTTATTTTATTCTATATTTAAATTCTTAACTAAATAGTTATCATTATCACAATTGGTTAATGAAGCCCTACAAAAGAGCTATGCAAATGGATTCAAGAAAGCGTAGAATTAATTCAAAGCTCAGCCAAACCAGAATTGTAGTTGAGCATGTCTTTGATCTCTAAAATCAAGATTTAGAATTTTAGATGTACGAACTATTTAATGTGAAAAACAAACTATACAAAGAAAGACACTTATTGATAAACTGTAATCCAAAGGAAACTACCTATAGCAAGAGGAAATTATTTCTGCTGAAAATATTTAACAGTAGACCTACAAACAAGCAGCATCCCAAAGAATATAGAGACTGTCCTTATTGTCTAAAGAAGACACGTAATATTAATATAGAAAGAAGACAGAAAACTCAAATAGCGAGTGACTTTCACAAAATTGCTGATCCAATTTTGAAGGAACAAGAATTTTCTGTATTAAGAAATGACCTGTGCACAAAATTTTTAAGAAAAGATTATTTATTAATTTTATATGCCAATAAACTGGTTGCTTAATACAGTTCACCTTATCACCACAAAATGATTCGACCTAATTTACGATACATCGGAAAATTCATTCATATTATGTTTTTCTCCAAAACATAATTTTATAAAGGCAATAAAAAGGATGCTCCATATTCAGCTATTGGAACAATATTAAAATTTTGTTGTGCCATACTAGAATCAGATTACATTAGAACAAAAAATTATAAAAACATTATTGAAGTACAAAACTTTTTCAAGCTGCTTCACACTGAATTAACAACCGATAACAATAAACCATCATTGAAAATCCAACGACCATCAGAAGATCGAGAAAAAATTATTTTAGTCCTTACGCACTAAAGAAGATTTATTTTACAAAATGATTTTAAGCCAATTTTGTATTGATACTTGCAAACAACTGGCAAGCTACACAGTGGTTGGAATTATGGTATATAGTGGAAGAAGACCAGGAGAGATACAAAGGCTTCTGGTGTCAGATTTTCATGAGACTTGATCTGTTAACGATAATCCAGATTTATTTGAAGAAAAAATTCCAGCAGTACTAATTTCACAAGGTGTATGTTAAGAGGAAAACTTGGTAGAAATTGTCATGCCTAGAGAAGAGATCAAATGCATTACATTGTTATTACAACAGCTGGGATCAACAATAATAATCTCTACGTGTTTGGTATACCTGGAGAGACGCCGTATAATTTTTTACTAGCATGCGAACTTTTAAAAAAATTTGCTGTAGATGCAAAAGTAAAATACCCAGAAAGTTATGTAAGAAAAAATATTGTTAGTAAAATTATTAAATTGTCTCTTGACTCAGATGAAAGAGAACACGTTATGGATTTTATGGGACATTCACAATCAACAAATAAATCAGTATACCGTGTAACGAACCAAGGTACCACCCTGTATCTTATTTATATTTCGGTTTGATTTATATTTCATTTTTCAGTTTCAAAATGACACTACCGGTACTATTTCTGGAATCTCCTGTCTAGTACTCTGTAGTTCGATTGCTCGGGTTCCTTTTTAGTTGTCTAGATGGCACGCTAGGTACCGTTTAACGCTTATTCGAGTTTTTACACTATTTTGGAAAAAACTCGTAATTCGCACATTTATCGCGACTGATTTTGATTCTGAATACCTCTGGTGCGTGAATTACTTTTCGAAGATTGTGTTCATACCTGTATTTAGGTAAGTTATATTTTTATTAACTAATTGTTGTTTGAGTAAGAATACTTCCTTCGCATTATTTTGGTAATTTTTTCTCGTTTATTAAACTATGAGCTGTTTGTAAGCCGCCGCTTTATATCTGACACACCTTTTCTTATTTTATTTAGAGTTAATAAATCGAACAAAGCGCCGTCGGAGTTTTCTTTCCTACTTCCTGGCCGAACCCGCAACCTGCCACTTTGTGTTAAGTAAGTGGTTTTGCAACAACCGACAACCCGAGTTGCCAACAGTATTAAATTTTGCAGCAGGAAATGAAAGGACATCAAATTGTAATGAAACTTCATATGGAAATTTCGTTAATGAAACACTTTGTGAAAATTCTATAAATAAAACGAAATTTGAAAATTCTGTAAATAAAACTACATTTGAAAATTCCGTTAATGAAGATGTTAAAGGGAAAACTACTTCAACTAGTCTATCCTTATTTTTTTAGACATCAGATTTATCGTTCCATAAATAATAGTTGTTCAAACGATTTTAAAATATTAAATATAGAAAATACAGTACTGAAATTGTAGCATACTGCAATAATTACAGAAAATGTAAAATTTCCTCTACGATAGAAAAAAGTAATTATGAAAAAGTTGTAAATGTATAAAGTACTTCTTTAGGTGCCACCCCTATAAAAAAACAAGACAGGTCCGCGAAATGAAAGAGATGTAAATAAAAACATTTTTAAAAAATGGTGGTATCAGATTCACCTGCCATATCTAGAGGACATTTACAAAATATCAAATCCAAATCAGTCATTCGAATGATTCGCAGTGAGAGAATTAATGTCAACAAACGACATCCAGTTGATGTTATAGATATATTAATATTTCAAAGGAAACATTTAAGTTTCGTAAAGCAAATTTGTTACCCGCTTAATGTATAAATATTTAGAGCACTGAACAAATTTTAATAGCCAAAAGCTCTACAGATGCTATTATGCCTTTTGACGCAACGAATACCATTGTCTATTAAGATAGGAGAAAAAGAATATTGTATTATTGTGATGTCGTTCCTTTGAATGACGATTATGTCATATTCTGGTAATAGTTTCTTGTGAGCATGACACCTTTACGTATTGTTAGAGTTATTTGTTAAATAAAAAAAAAATGCTAAGAACACTGTTGCCGACCTATTTTTTGAACAATTGTAAACGATTTCAGTTTTGTCAGTTTAAATGCAGCTTGTAAAGCATTTTATAACATGGAAATAAAAGAATATTTGATTTGTTTTGAGCATTTTACTAGCGAAAAACTTCCAAAACATTTTTTTCAGATTTGTTTGTGTTGTCTACATTTTATTAAAACCTTATTTGAAGTAATTGATAAAATTATATAGAAGGGTGGAAGAAAAAAGAAAAGACGCTCTAAAATGATTTTTGTAATGTCTTTTAGTTTAAAAAATGAAGATGAAGTTGCCTACCGATTGATTCAGAAATTCTACAATATTTTTGTCGTCTCAAAAAAAACAGGATTTGTAAGGCAAGCATTGCAACATATAAATCTGTATGATCCCGTTATCAATAAACATTACATAACATATTCTTCTACATTTTTTTTTATGTCTACGTTAAATATGGGATCCTTAATAATATCGAAGATACCAGTGAAAATAATGATTTATTTAAATCCTAATTTGATCAAATATTGAATAGTTTTTTTTTTATTAATGGATGGATGGCATCAGACATGCAAGTCTATTTACCACAGAAAGTATATTGGATAGTTATATGGGTTTATTTCCCTTTTGAATAAGTATTATAAGTAAAAAAGACCGAACAATCTTTTAGTAGAATAATGGTTCAGTTTCTTAAAAAATGATATGCTTTTAGGAGCACAGGATATAAGATCAACATTGTTTATAAATCAAGTAAGACGACACGTTTTAAAAGTCCATAAAAAAATTTCATTAGACAGACTCAGTAATATACCTAAATCTAAATTTGGTAGTAAACTGTTACCAATTAACGGTAACAATTCAATTTCATCTTCTAACACCTTATCCGACGAGTAAGAAGAGTGGGAAAAAATTTGCACTAAAAAATTCCTATTTTTCCGGAAAATATGATACATTTGCCCAAGGAAAAAAATGAATCACATATTTCAGAAACCCCAAAAATCGCAAATTTGTGAAAATACAGTTTTCTATATTTTTTGGTAGTATAAAGGTATATGATCTTAAGGCGAATTGTATCGTAGATGGTTAACCAACTGATTACCAAACAAGCCGTTAATGCTTAACCAACCGTTCGGTTGTCGCGCAGCTTGGTAGGCTCTTGTCACGTAACTGACGTAACTCATAATTTCTGTAGTATTGGTAAAACTGATTCCTAGGTTCGTGGTGAATTCGCGTTATAAATTGGTATCATTTTGACACTTGAGCGTGATTCGAACTTTATTTTAATTTTGTTTTTCACGAATAATTACATTTGTTTAAAATTGTTTTAGATTATTATTGTTAACAATTTATAATAATGGCTGAAATTATAGGTAAGCAGGTATCTAGTACCATTTACCTCTGTAAATTATTTTTTTATTAATTTAGGGTTAAAGAAAAGGAGGGAAACAAACTTTTCTGGTAAAGAGGAGAGACAGTTAAGTTCACTAATAAAAAAATATGCAAGTGTCACTGAAAATAAAAAACTGATAGTGAAATGAATAAGAAAAAACATGATATGACACCAGTTGACGAAAATCAAACGCTTCGGTCTACAGATGCACTTAAGAGCAAAAACGCAAAGAAAACCTATGCTGAAAAAAAAGTAAGTCTATGGTGATGGTCCACCTATTAATATAATAGATTCTCCCATTTCGTCTGAGATCCATGAAATAATTGGAGCTCAGATGTCAGGATTTTCAACAAAATTTGATAGTGATGCAACAGATAATTAAAATCTTCATTAAACCACAGATATATGTTACATCAATAGTGAAATATAAAATGTGAGGAGCTGTAGATTTGATAAAATGAAAAAAAATACTAAAAATCTAAAAACTATTGGATATTATGTAGCTGCAAATTGTGTATCTGGATGTGTCGATTCATATAGCTTTTTCCTTAAAATTATATATAAATTTGAAAACTTATTTACTAAATATTTTTGAAATGCAAGCTCCGAATTAATTTTTTTATTAGATACTTTGAATGAAAAAATAACATTAATAGTTGAAGAAGATGATGCCGGTGAAATAGAAACTGTAGAAAATAAGGAAGAAGAAACAGACTATACTTCAGACACTGCTCATCAAGAATCTTCAAGTTCCATAGGTGATTGGACAAAGTTGTCTATCAACACATTAAGAACCCCAGTTTCCAAACAGCTTGATGTCAAAGATAGCCGTGGTACAAGAAAAAGAGGTAGTGTACATATTTATTAAATAAAAACAAATTCTGTAAATTTTACATTGCAGACAATTTTTTGAGGACCACATTAGGCACCTGGGCGAAGGCAAAACAAGATTCTGTTTCTGTTCAGCAGCAGGTTCTTCTTGAAAAACATAGGCAGAAGTAAGCCCATAATGAGGACAAACACAGACAGGAAATGGAGCAGATTAAAGAAACGCATAAACAAGCAATGCTCTTCGCAAAAGAAGATCATGAAGTAAAAGTGAGCATTTTAAAATTAGAAAAAGAAAAGTTACAAAATTAATTATAATAAATATAAATAAAATATTGTTAGTTTTTATAAATAAAATTAATTTAAATATTATATACATATAAAATACTTTGTCTTGGAAGTGTTAGGGGGGCTTCAATTTCAATTGGAAGTTATAATTTTTTGGATGCAATCAAATGAAAGCATTTTGAAGCATGTTAAAAATATATTATAAGTTCGTTTTACTTTTTCTTTGAGTTTTTAAAAAAAACACTATACAATTTCCAATTCACCTCCAAAAGTAACCTCAGAAAAATTTTTACTGAATTAGCGCCTGCCAGCTAAATCTATCAACATATCAACTGTAATTAATTTGAAACATTCACGGCATGGAGAACCATTGAGCTATTTCATTTGGTCAAACTTTCTATATAGCTTTTAATCTTGTAAAACAATTATTTGTCTCTTGTCTGGAATAGTTCGTAATACAAAAAAGTGCTGTAGGTACAACAAAATTTGATACAAAAAATGTGTCCAAAAAAAGTTTTATACAAATGGAAAAAAGTTTTTCGTACAATTCACAAAAAAATCTTGTCGAGTTCTACGTCACCTCGAAATCCATAATCAAGAATCAAATTTGATAATAATTCAAAAGTTTCTAATACACACTTATCTTTGATTGGAATATTTACTAAAATCTATATACATTAATTTTAAATAAATGACATTGGAAATAATTTTTCTTATTCATAAAATCCCAATTACACACGTATTATTTGTTACCATTTAATATACGGAGTGGCCCAAAAGTCTGGAATCGGCCAATTATCTCGTAAATTGCTAGTTCTATTTGTACAAAATTTGGGGCACACCTATTTGGGTGTACAGAGATTCCAGATTTGATATTTGCAATGTTGCCAGATTTACAGTTTCTCTTATATTATTAGTCACTTTGGTTTGTCAAATTCATCACCCTGTATATTCAGTCATTATTGGAATCTTCTATTTAATAAGAGTTCAACCATATGTAACATTTATGATTTTATTTAGGCTGGATGGTAATAAATAAAACTGCAAAATATGTATATTAGAAGAAATTTAAATGTTTAAATCTAGAATGCTGCGATTTTGACATTTGTTCACCATTTACATTATTAACTAAAACTGACAGTAGTTTGATGTGTTTTGAAAAGTTCTGCAAGGTAAATTGCTTCTCTAAAATGGCTCTTAACGAAAAAGAACAAATTACCATTCTAATGATGAGAGGGTACGGCGACAGAAAAAGATCTTATTGTGAAGTAGCCAACTTGTTCAATGATACTTTCCCAAACCGTTCTCCTATTCATAAGACAACGGTACAAAAAACATTAAAACGCTTTGAGGAATCTGGAGGAGTAAAAGATAGATATATTGCAGAGTTTTGTTGACGATTCACATACATCCTCACGCAGTGTTGCACAAGTACAGAATCGTTCTTCAGTCTTACGTGTATTACATAGTAATAAATTTAAACCATACAAAATTCACTTAGTGCAAGAATTATGTGAAGATGACCTCGATCGTAGATTAGAGTTTACTGAGGTTATGATAGATAAATTTGAAAATGATAAAAATTTCGTTAACAGAATGTTTTTCCGATGAAGCAACCTTTACACTGTGTGGTGTGTATAAATCGACATAATTTAAGGTACTGGAGTGACGTCAATCCACACTGGATGCGTGAAAACCAAACTCAAAAACTACAAAAATTAAATGTATGGTCAGGTATAGTAGGTACTCAGTTAATTGGGCTATTCCTTATCAAAGGAAATTTAACGTAAGATAGTTACGGAATGCTACTTAGAAATGAAATTGCACTTACACTGAAAAACTTGTTTGGATCCAATTTTAATCAGATATGGTTTCAGCAAGATGGAGCTCCAGCTCATTTTGGTGTAAATGTTCGGCGTTATTTAGATGAGATATTTCTCGGATGATGGATTGGTAGACGAGATAGTATTGAATGGCCTCCACGTTCACCTGATTTAAATCCTAAAGATGATTTTTATTGAAGATACCTGAAAAATGTAGTTTACAAAACTAAACCAGCAAGTCTTGCAGAGCTAAGGCAACGAATTATCGATGAATCTCAATTAATTTCTAGACAATCATGGAGAAATGTGGTAGACGCATTCTACCATCGATTAGGGTACTGTCAACTCAAAAATGAAGCACATTTTGAACACTTGATAAAGTAACCATTATGTTAAAAATGTTGTAATTTTTCAATTATTAGGGGTAATGTGCCTAATATCGCATACTTCCTAATATCGCACCCCCGTATTATTCAATTTGCAAGTGTCGCACTCTAGCAGTGAACGAGCTAAACTCTTAGTTTTGCTCGCCTGTCAAAGCAGTATAGGAATTTTCGTGGTTAGGTGGTCATTAAAAGTGCTCGTGTAAATATTCCAATTTCGCTGAGTGAATACTTTTGAGAGGGAAAAATATATCAACAATTTTATGAAGAAAGGTATGTAGACCTCATTTAAATTCTATGTGCGATATTAGTGGCATTATGTAGCTCAAATAATTTGTGATTAAAACATGTGTCAAGTTTATAGAATTCATGCAAATGGCGTCAATATTTACATTATAATATATGCCTAATATCGCCCATGTTGTGTAGTCCTAATACCGCACCGTGCGATATTGGGAATAGTTTGTTTGGAAATTGTTCTCTTTGTAGTTTGTCTTACGTTATCATTTTAATAACAGATGGACGCAATAACAAAAAAGAAAAGAAAACAATGGCGCGCAGAAGATATGAAAAGGGCAATTATCTGTATCCGGTCTAAAGATATGGGCCTTCAACGAGCTTCGAACTATTTTAATGTACCCAAGTCGACTCTCAAAGACAAAGTTAATAGTGGCGAACAAGACTTGGATAAATTAGTTAGCACTAAACTTGGTCGAAAACCCGTATTGGATAAGGATTTAGAAACAGCGTTAGCTGAATTCTGCTTAGAGATGGAGTCCCGCTTTTATGGTTTACGAACAACCGATTTGAAACAAATGGCTTTTCAGTTAGCAGAACAAAACGGTCTTCCCCACCCATTTGCTAGAAAGGATCAGGCTGCTGGGTGGAAATGGCTTCGAGGCTTTATGAAGAGAAATCCTCACTTAAGTCTTCGAAAGCCTCAAGCAACATCAATGGCAAGAATAAAAAAAGTCACAAAAAAGTGTTTCATGGGCGAAGAAGACGATAGAAAAGGGAGAAGTAAATCATAAGAAACAGCCCCAAAGAAAACGAAGTCAATTTCGAAAAAGAGACCAATCGAATCTTCATCAGAGTCCAGTGATGATGAAATACCCGAAGACCTAACGGTTTCTACAGACGAAGAGGATAGTGAAAACGACTGTGAATGTCCCTTTTGTAACGAATCATATCTGAATGATAAATCTGGAGAAAAATGGATAGTGTGCATCAAATGTAGAATTTGGTGCCATGAGCAATGCTCCGGGTCAGACAACTACAAAACTTTTATTTGTGACTTTTGCCGTGAAGGCTGATAACCTCTGAATAAGATATTTTCGTTTATGTCAAGTTGTTTATAAATAAATGTTCGAAACTTGATTTTGAAATTGTTTTAATTTGTTCTAGGGAATGTTTCAACAAGTGGTCCTAATACCGCACACTTGGGCGATATTAGGATCACTTTTTTATCTACTCTGAAAAAAGGGACATAATTTCAGATTCCTTAAAAGACCTAATTTTATCAATTAATACTTAAAGTTGTTAATTAGTCGATTAAGACACTCTACAAGTAAACCTCACAAAGAAGCAAAACCGATTTCTGATTTGAAAAAATCCAAAAATGACATTTTTCAAAATGGGGGCGATATTAGGCACATTTCCCCTACGTTTTGATGTAGTTGAAAATAGTTTGTATTAAAAAATTTATTGTGACAATTAGACGTTGCCAAACTTGTTTTATTTATTTAAGACCTTCCAGACTACATAAAAGTGTTACATATGGTTAAACTCGTATTAAATAGGAGATTCCAATAATGACTGAATATACAGGGTGATGAATTTAAAAAACCAAAGTGACTAATAATATAAGAGAAACAGCAAATTTGGCAACATTTCAAATATCAAATCTGGAATCTCCGTATCCCAAAATAGGTGTACGCCACATTTTGTACAATCAGGACTAGCAATTTACGAGATAATTGGCCCTTTTCAGACTTTTGGGCCACTCTGTATATAGAATACGAGGGTTATAGTTAACTTTTTGACTATCTGGAAATCTGATATGTTTAAATTTTAAATTACGGTAAACAATTGAAAATTTTAAATGAGCAAAAATTAAATTGCTCGAGAGAATTCGAGAGAAACGAGAAATGACACTCTCTTGTCTCGTCTCGAATATTTTTTCGAGAGAAAATGTCTCTCTCGTCTCGTACGAGACGAGAATCTCTCGTCTCGTGGCATCACTACCTGGTGATTTGACAAGGTCAATGAAATAGATAGTTACATAGTGTTCGATACCTGCCGTTAAATAAAGGTTTCGCCACCCATGTTATAAGCTTTAGTTATATGTTCTTTTTTTTTATTGTTGATTGTCTTAGAATTTTACTAATGTCACGTCATGTTTTGATATAATAAAGTATATTATTTTCCAAATCGTTATCTATACAGTTCATGCAATCGAGTTCAGCCCACAGCGGCACATATAGTGGGCAATTATTTTTTTTACTATATTCAAAGGCTAAATATTGGTTTGTAAACACATTTTTGCAAAATCGATTCTGCTTGATGAGAACTTGCGAGTCAATATGGCCGCTCGTAAACGACCCGCTTTCAGCAATCTATATGTATCATGACAATATCAATGACAACAGGCCCACAGGGTTGCCATATCTAAACGTC